TATATATATATATATATATATGTACACGTGTGTGTGTATGTGTGTATGTGTGTATACAAAGAAGACACACACATACACACACACACATAATTCTCATGGTACATTCTTAAAGTCGGCTAAATGTCTAATTAATGTAAGCTGTGTAATTCTAGCAAAAGCTGTTCCCGTGGATTAAATTACTATTGAATAGGAAAGGAATATGAACATGAATATGAACACTTTAAAGATAATTGCTTAACTGGTAATAACCATATCAGTTACTTTAGTTATGAAATTGCATTACTGTGGAAATCAAATATAAATAGAATTTCAGTTTATGGAAATGTAAATTTTGTTTGATAAGAAAAAAATACACTTATGAATATATTTCACTGAAGCCTTTGGAACCATGTGATCAAAACAAATGATATATCAGCACGGTACTAGAATTCTGATTACTTTTTGAAGCAACATCTTTCCCTTTATTTTCCTTTTAGCTTTTATTCCCATGACCATCAGTCCAAAATATGTAACGCATAAAGGATCGTATGGATTGGGCCGTGTTGTATTGAGGTATTTGTTAATGATAAGATCTTGAACTGCCATATATGTAAGGATCTGTGATTATGCCGTGATATTGTGGGGTTAGGCACCGGGATAAGATTACCTAATGTCCAGGGCAATCATATAATAAAACAAACTATGCTACTTGCTTTGAAAGGTGTGTACTTTTCAACATGGCTGGAGTATTGGTGCATTGCCATGTTATAGTAATGAAGAACAAGGGTGTTATGGAATGCGGAAATGATATTATGGCTGGAAATGACGAAATTATGGTGAGTATGGACGTACAACCAACGGTACAAGAGCACAACCAAGGCAGTGCTTGCAACGCTTAGCCGGTGCCGATACTTGCGCCGAGGCCGTCTCTTGGCCGAGCCTGGCTGGGGGGTCAGCCGGACGGATACGCGACGCTACCTGGGCTGAAATATATGGAAACACACCACAAGTGTTTTTAACCTAGTCCCCTGTCCGGTCACTGTGCCGTGCAGGGCCGCCAAAGGCTCTGTTACTTATTCCGCAGTAGTCATGATGAAGACAAAACAAGATAATGTGAAACAATTCATTCCATGGTGTGGCCTGGGACTAGAGAGCAGAATACTGCCACTATACCCTTTATTTTTAAAAGTTGGTACGGCAACTGGGTGTTGTTAATATCTCTAGAATATGAGAGATAAAAAAAGTGACACGAAAGCTCATTAAACTATGTCAAGAGGACAACGTAGAACATGAACTTCACAACTAATTATGTGAATAAGCTTAGCATGGATACCCTCCACAGCACAGTGATTCTTTACAAAGCTTTATTTATCCAATATTAGCAAGGGCATGGTAATGCTGACCTAAATTTTATGGTTTTCGAAATCTTCAGTGATCTACCTCATACCTGATCTTATCTATGAACCATATTGTAGAATCAGCAGTTGTAAATTACACTGAGTTCTTCTCTATACAGCTTGTGATTTTTTTTTCTAGAACTTTATTATCATACTAGTGGATTGTCACTTTACACTAACACCCAGCATGGTCTTGGCATTCTATTCAGCAACTGCTTATGTACAGTTTTTGTGATGTGTACCTTGTACTGTACCACCTATATTTGATTGCTAGTGCATGATGAAGGACATAAAATCATGCAAGGGTAAACCTGTGGAAACAAGCAAAAAAAGACAATACTGGTTTAGGTATTTGGACTTTTCAGAGATGAAAGGATCAGAAGCAATGTTATTAAAATTTCTCTAGGTTACGTGGTCAGAAATTATTGCCAAAATGGTATGTAAAACACTAAAAAACACATTTGCAAAATATTGCAACAGTTGAAATATATATTAGCTAATATTTTCCCCTGTCTTTTAACTTAATGAGATATATGATTAGTTTTGAATATCTGTTCTTGAAAGAAACACTCGTTCCCATGAAGCTAAAGTAGCTTGAAGATTTCAGAAAGTCTCTATATGACTTCATTTAAAATTACTGTATTGATTAACCAAACTGACTGGGAACTGGGTCACTGACTTAATGCCTCCAACTTGTCTGACAATTGAGTACTTTGAGAGTCTAACAGAGTAGATTTAGTAAAAAATATTCTAAGATTTCACTTCTTTTGACTGCTACCACTACAGACCATTAAATATATAATACATCCAAGATTTACAAATATTTGTTGCATATTTCAGGATGGGGTTCTACTTTAACCAAATAGTATCCTGTTAGAAGGCTTCCCTTCTCGATAACTACTCCTTAAAAGACAAAAATTAGACTAAATTGACAAAAAAGGAGAAAAACATGTGTGACCACTATACTCGGCAAATGAATGTGTGTGTGTGTGCCTGTAATGTGTATTTATGTGTGTTATAAATGTGAATGTATAGGTGCGAGGATAAACATGCAGTATCCTGTACGCAGAGTCAATTAATTTTTGATAGACCAATATGGAGCATTAATATCCTATATATCTTGTTTCTATAAAGGTAGCTAGAAGATGATTAAAGTGTGTATAAAATCATGATTAAACTACTCTAGACTGTCTCTGTTGAGACTTACATTTTTTTTTTTTTTTGCCCTCCCTGAAATGCAAATAATGGAAGTGATGTACTTGTAATGTTACAATAAAGTAATAATTGACTACTGATATGTACACATCTCTGGGACTTACTCTCTACTATGACTTACACATCCAACCTGTACGGAGCATGACATAGCTGAAACAACCAAAAATATCAATAATGTCTTGATATTATCATTATACAAGAAACAGACCTAACAGTTGTAGCAAAATCTAACAAGAAACAAATCTTTAGTAAGTTCTTTTCCAAGGAAATTACATAATTAATTATCAAATTTGATTTTAAATACAGAATATGTGCTCCAAGATTCCTTTCAGCGAAGAATTAAGCATAATTTTCTGTTGCGCATGCAATGACAATTCGGGAAACCTTTGTTCATGCAAAA